ATTTCTTCATGTGGGAATTAATTGCTAATTAATGTAGGTTTGAAAATTGTATTTTTACGAAGATATTGGTTCTTCACGGAGCAATTAATTATCAATTAATTCCTACGTGAAGAAATAGTTCGATTCTCAGACGTTTTTCATGTTGGTCCTGCGATCAGCACTAGGGGTGGCAATTCACCTCTTTAGGGGTGAGTAAAAGAATTGAAATGTGGTTTTTCTGCGAGCAATTAAATAGCAATAAATTCTGGTATATAATTCATCAATGAACATTTACTTAATAATTATTTTTTATTGTGGCAGTGGTAGCTTTATAGAAAGCTGACATCGCCACCATTTTTCGGAAAAGTATAAGAGCAAAAAATTTTTTTCTTGTGTAATAAAATAGCCGTTAAATTAGCAATAAATTTTGCAACAAATTTTATTGAATTGTGCTAAAGTGGCAATTCCAGCTTTATATACATGACTATGTATATAAGTTCCCAGACATTCTGTTATATCTAGTACTCTACTATTTGTTTTATTGTCGACTTATTTCTGTGCTCGTCAACCATTGCACATTGTTTTTGAGCAATTTTCGATTTTGATGTGCTTCCGTAGTGTTGTGCGGCTATCCTGCCAATGGATTAATAATAAACAACAGGAAGAAATAAAATACGCCCATCATCGCATAGGATTTGAATGGCACTAAAGTCAACATTGATTGCACTACATTTACTTGTCAAACAAATGTCATATTTAAATACACTACATCCCATTTGCAAATGAGTAGAGTATTCCCATTAATTCAATGTTTCATGTAGATTTAGCAATATTTTTAGTAAACCAAAATGTCCAGAATCTTTGAGTTTCTTATGTTCATCATTCGACTTTTTCAAGATATGAAACAATTTGCCCCATCGCGATAATTCATCCAATTGAACAAGAATATACGAATGATAGGATGTGCAAGCACGCACTGTCATTACTCTCGATGACAACGTACCTACGTTACTGACAACTAACCCTCGGGTGTCGATAATATGCTCGTAACTAGGTGAGGAGGTACTTTAAGATAATAGAGGACAATAATCCAGTACGTCATAGAGTACTGTTATGACAAGACTCCTTGTTATCCTAATATCGCGGGAAAACACGAGATATCGTGGATAACGTATGCAGCGCATCGGGTTTGAGTTGTATATGTATAAACATACGTGCATATACGTATACATATGTGTACTTCCTATATATCCGTGTGTACGAATTCATATACATAAATGTATAATATATGACATACATCCTGTACATGTTTACGAGAACAAATTGCGAGCGGGAGTACGGAGAATGCAAAATAAGAAAGAAAAATAATTTGTCATAGTTTAGACCTTAATGGGTTGGAAAAAGATTTTCATATCTCTTTATATTCCACATACCGCGTACGTACAAAGTATTGTAACAATTTTACCGTGACCAAACAAATTATCCATGACCCTTGAAAACCCTGCACGATTTTTATATATTTCATGTTAAAACTGAAAGATGCATTATTCACGGTCAGAAAGACGTGGAAATGAGTGTTAGTGTACGTTCTCTCGATTAGTTCATAACATAAACAGCAGTGGACAATGATTTCTTTTTATGTTCCACATACTACGTACATACAAAGTATTGTAACAATTTTACCGTCACCAGACAAAATATCCATGACCCTTGAAATCCCTGCACGATTTTTACATATTTCATGTTAAAACTGAAAGATGCATTTTTCACGGTCAGAAAGACGCGGAAATAAGTGTTAGTGTACGTTCTCTCGATTAGTTCATAACATAAACAGCAGTGGACAATGATTTCTTTTTATATTCCACATACTGCGTACATACAAAGTATTGTAACAATTTTACCGTGACCAAACAAACTAACCATGACCCTTGAAAACCCTGCACGATTTTTACATATTTCATATTAAAACTGAAAGATGTACATACAAAGTATTGTAACAATTTTACCGTGACCAGACAAAATATCAATGACCCTTGAAAACCCTGCACGATTTTTACATTTTTCACGTTAAAATTGAAAAATGCATTTTTCACGGTCAGAAAGACGCGGAAATGAGTGTTAGTGTACGTTCTCTCGATTAGTTCATAACATAAACAGCAGTGGACAAAACCTATAAAATTAAAAAAAGAAAAGGAGTAAAAACAGAACATTTTAAAAGTCAGATCTCTCCTTAATTAAGAGTCATATAACATTCCACTAGGAAAATTTCAATTTCTAATAATCGAACGTTCTCATGGCCGCGATTGCACGTTTTATTTTCCTAGGAAATAACATTGAAAGTTTACTAAAGATTCGTAAAAATTTGGACATTAGGTTGGCGGGAACATTTATCCAAGAGATGTGGGGGGGAACCAGAAATGATGAAATCGTTAAAATGATCGATGCCATTTATTTTGGACATCCCGAAGGCATTATAATTGGGAAATGTCGATGCACGTTACTCATTATGGAAGCTCCGGGCGCTTTTCTTGCAGGAGCAATTGCACCTCAAGTGCGCGCGGTAATTTCAGGAGTTCCGTTTGATTTTACAGTTATGACGCTTTCAACACGTAACGAGAGGAAAAATTGAAGATACTTCGAAAGGAAAAGAACCGAACTTCGGAACTTTCGGATGTTTCCCCGTCCCGAGTCGTCCTAAGGTAAATATTTGGTTGTCGCAGTTTTCTCCGGACCAAAAGAGCACATTGAAACGCAGAACTTGTAACGAGCCAAATACCCAAATGAACCAAAGTACATTATCGTTTTATCGAGTACATACGGAGTCCCTGAATTTATCTATACGACTGATAATTCAAAAGACTTCTTCGCGTATCTTGAGGAACCATTTCCATTTGCTGTCCATCAAATTCCACCCAACAATCTACGTACAAGACGAGTCTCGAATACTAATTTTGGATTCACCTTTTTACAAACTGCAGATTACGTGAGAAATGACTGACTAGACCATCGTTAAGGTGAAGTGAAACACGTCGAGGAACTTGATCGACGTCGATAAAGAATATCTTTCTAAACACTTACGTAGCCGACGTTCATTTTTATATCGACAGCTGTGTCGAATTATATTGGGTATTATACTAAATGGCATACTCCATTTGTCGTTTTCGTACAATAATTATAAAGAAATCGAAGTAAAACTCCAGAAATCCTCTAGATTCGTGCTTTCTGGGGCCCTAATTGACTGCAGAGAGACCCCCTGCGCCATCTGTGATTTTCAGGTCAGTTAAATTTTCACTCCGAGACCTCGTATTTCCATCGTCTTGCCATAGAAGCGCATAAAACACTTTTTTTGCCTTTACCCCGTTCAAATGCGAGTTTCTCGATTACCAGAGTGTTCTAAATTGTCGTAAAATTGTCCTGACCCTTTCGATTCTCATATCAGAGCCCTCGATCATTGTATATTGATCGAAATATGAGAGCTCGACGCCATTTTGGTACTGGTCTGGGCTGAGTTAAACAATTTTTTCAAAAAATCCAAATGTTGAATGTGTCAGGACAATTCTTAGATGATCAGAAGTGATGTGTCAAAGTTTAGGACAGTTTGGTCCAATACCCTTAAAAAAAAGGTGTTGTATTCGAATCGATTGATTTAAAGGGGATTTCACTTCACCTTAAATCGCGCAATATCAATCCAAGTCGAAAGAAACTCGTAACGACCGGAAATCTAGAGTGCAAGCGTCGAAGGCGACGAGACTTTTTCACATGCGGTGGCAGATTATAATGCACTTCGACGGGTCGTATCGAATTCCGTCCTGTTGGCGATTCCGTTGTCTCATCCTTTCGTTCCACTTGTGGAAAATTGTTTAGACCTCCCAGAGTTAGGGTTCGAACCGACAACGCTTGAGAATAGAGATTCTTTCGACACGCACCTTGCCTCGTACGTTTCTTCGGTCACGTATTCCGTTCTTCGACCACGGTGAAGGTGAACCGTAAATTGAAGTTATGACACGATGACGAGGTAATCGCAATGAAAGGAAAAAACCGAACGAATAAAGAATCGACGAGCTTAACCTAATTCACCATTTGCGATTCGTCTAACCAAATTAAATGTAACAGAAGAAACGCCGTTAAGGGGATGTGAAAGTGGCATCCGAAAGCTCAGTCGTTCATAAAACTTTTCATAGAACTGGGGGGCTCAAATCGTTTCATACTTTAAAACGTAAATATGGAGACCCTAAGGTAGGTCCTGGAACTCGGAAAATTGCATTTTTTATGAACTACTTTTAAAATATCTATAAAGAAATTTGAAAAGAATTGAAATTTCATGAGGTTCAGGATCTTCGTTATAGTCTCCCTATTCACGTTGTAACGTTTCAAACTATTCGGTAAATCGAGTTGGGAGAAAAGTTTTATAAACAAAACCTCTTCGACGCCACTTTCACATCACCTTAAGGGGATGTAAAAATGACATCCGAGGGGTCGATCGTTCATGAAACTTTTCGCTGAACTGGGTGTACCGAATCGTTCCCAACTTTACATTGTGAACGTGAAGGCTATAGGGAAGGTCCAGACCCTCAAGAAATTTCATCTTTTACAACAAAGTTTAAAAACACGTATGGACCAATTTTGAAAAAAATTGAAATTCCATGACTTTCAAGACCTTCCTCGTATCCTCCCTATTTATATCGTTTCAAACTTTACATTGTGAATGTGAAGGCTATAAGGAAGGTCCAGACCCTCCAGAAATTTCATCTTTTACAACAAAGTTTAAAAACATCTATGAATCAATTTTTATAAAAATTGAAATTCCACGAGTTTCAAGACCTTCCTTGTACCCTCCCTATTTACATCGTAAAGTTTGAATCGATTCGGTATACCCATTTCGGAGGAAAGTTTCATATAAACGAGACCCCTTCTACGCCACTTCCACACATCACCTTAACCTCGCGAAACCATTTCAGAGGGTTTGTTCTCATTCCACAACGAGGAAGAAGCAATTCATCCAGTACCACCTTAAAACTCACTTATGAGGTTTTTGAAGGCGTCGGCAAATATGCGAATCATCCTGACTGGCGTGCTTGGAATAAGAAAATAAGATCCTCCGGCGTCAGCTGTGGGCGAGCATTACGATCAGCTGGTAACGTCCAACTGCCATACGTACACCGGAGTAAGCGTCGTGTAGCCGGTCTCTTCAGAAGTGACGATTCCCCGAACACCTCGACCTCCAGCTCGCGGGTTCCCTGCAGCGGCTCTGCCCGGAAAACGATTTCTTATCGAGACCTCGCCGTTTCTTACCGAAGAACAACCGACTCTCCGGCTTCCCTCGGGTCCCCCGAGTGGAATAGATTTTTTCCCAATTTTTTCGGCGCGACTTCGCTCTTCCTTCTTTTTCGACTCCCCTTGAGTGTCCTCCCGTGAGATTTCCGACGGTGGCGCCGTCAGCGCTCCGCGGCCGAAACTCGCGTCTTCCTCGGTCGAGTTTGGTTAGGGCCACGCCGGCGTGGCCTGCCGCAGCTACCGACGCGTCCACGGAGACAATACTGACAGGACTGAGCGAGATCGGTACGATTTCGTCAGCTTTATCCGTGCCGACAAGAGACGCGCGTGGCGTGATGCGCCGCGAAACGCAAACGCCTCCGCTCGTCCTGAACTTCGACCCCGAAGTCCTTCCTCCGGCTGGCCCGTTATCGTTATCGTCGGCTTCTGCCAGCCCGCCGATCCCGCCGCTTCCTCCCTCGGCCCCCGCGAGGGGAAGCGGAGGTGAAAACTTCCCCTCTTTGGTATCTTTCGGGCCAGTTTTTTCCTTATTTTCGATCAAGTCTTCCTTCCCCAACCGAAAAGTGCTCTTCTTTGATGTAACGGCCCAACTTTTAATTCCAACTTACCCGGGAATATTGGTCAATCGTATTTTTTACGTTATAAACGTTTAGGTCGTTTATTCTATTGAACTTTTCGAGACTGGGTTCTCTTTGGGTATCTTTCAGTACAGCATTTCAGTGTCGGAGGTGTCGATTTTTTTTCATCTTAGATTTTCGTCAAAAAGATTGTCCTTTCCGAAGGCCTTTAATCGGAAAGATATGAAGGTTTCGTAATGGGGCCCGTTGACCGATTGCCGTTACGTTCTTGCGAGGTTCTCTTATCTTTCTTAGGAATTTCTACGATTTGAAAATAGTTGTCATTATTTCACAGGGCGCTTCTCTACTTTGGCCTCTTATTAGATCTCTTAAACCTGTGTCTCTTGATCTCCTCATCCCTCCATTCCGATTGATTTCTACCGTTATTTAACAAAACGAGCGTCAAAAAATGAAATATCACCCGAGCCGATTGATCTTCTTCTTCTCCGCCTATTTCTTCATTCGGATGAAATCCATCTTAACCTTTTGGAAACGATCAAATACCGCGCAAGGTAAGTCGCACAAAAAGAGTCTTCGATAAACCTTACATTCCCCTTCCCTAGACGTATCGTCGTCTCTCTTCGAGACCAGTTCCCGATCTCGGTCGGTAAGAGAGGCCTCTCTTCTCAAGCCTAACCCCCGAACGATCGGGCTCTCACAAATCCCCGAGTAAAAACCTCAACTACGTTCCAAAACTACCCAAATGCGGCTCGCATCTCTCTCGCCTCGTCGATATAAATCGACGCAAGTTGACCAACCGAATCACCACGCGGCGGCGTTCCTGGAAACAAAATGGCGGACAAGGCCTCCCGGAGATTTTGGGACCGTACGAGCAGAGCGCGGTTCTAGTCCTGCGTTCGGTCGGTAAGTTCGGACTCTTCCTTAGCGTGCTCCTTTGTTCGCAGCGTTACGGTCGCTCCGCGTTTCTCCGCCGGGTAAGTGGGGCCTATCGATCGGAGGAGTCCCGAAGGAGTCTTCGAAATCCCCCGGGAAGCTCTGGCTGCGCCTCTAGGGAGTCCCCAGATCCCCAGATCCCTAGAAGCGGGCCCGGGGACCGCGACGGGTCCGGGGCCGAGCGTTTCTGTCGTGGAGGCGACGCGTCCCGGTTTTCGGGCTCTCTCGGAGGGCCGAGGGCGCCGCAAGCGCTGGGAAGAGCTGGGGAGCCGGCGGGACGTCTTCCGGGGCAAACGTGAACGCAACGGACGCACTAGAGAGCTCACGAGGCTCCATTGAAGAACGATAAGAGGAACGCTCGCGTGGTTGCGCTATCAGCTGCACCGACCACGACTGCTGGAAGATTTCTTCGCGCTGCCGCGACGAGGGGGGGTACGGGATGCTGCGAGGGGCGGGAGGGGACGCGCCCCTCCCGGCTCGCCGCCCCTCTCAGCCTGAAGACCGGCACCGGAGGGGAGGGGAACCGCGTGGGAGGACTCCCACTGCTCCAGTGGGAAAATTCCCTGCGGTGAGCGAGAGATTCGAATAAATTCGGGAAACTCACTCTCGGCGAGTGTGTTCGAATTTCATATCGACGGCGAGGGACGTGCACTGGAAAAAAAAAAAGAAAAAAATCCATGGAAATTTACATACACACTTTTGCCTCCTACGTACCTGAAGTTTCATGTAAAATAATGTAATACGGATAAATGACAAATGTGAGAATGTATAAATGCTCGGGACATTGTATGTTTCGGGCATTCCTGCATTTTTACTTGAATTAAATGTAACATTACGGTGTAATTTTTCTCGTGGCGGGTAAGACCTTTACCTTGTATGCAAATCTACAGGTTATCTAGTGAAGGAAATATCTCGAAGAGACAAAGGCAAAATGATCGGAGGTCCATGGGCGGGCCTATTTCAAGAATCATGGGCGAGGAAACGCGGGTATTGTTTAGAAGATATGATCATTGCCTAAACAATTGATACGGCTAGGCCAAGACGGTCCTTGCGAACAGTGGACGGGACGGCACTTGGTCGAGAATCATAGAAGGGAATAGTTGGACCAATTTCTACACGTCTCCTTGAGGCTTACATATAACATTTTTAACGATTAATAATCTGTGAATCTACGAAAATATAGACTTGTCAATAGTAGATTCGCCTTCGTTAATTTCACCTCCTACATAAGTCAATTAGTATTACTGTAAATCTACAAAATATAGACTTGTCACTAGTAGATTCGCCTTCGGTAATTACTCCTCCTACACTAGTAAATTTAGGTATCGATGCGGATAAATATACGCTGCTGGGTAAAAATATATATTAGGATGTAAACTTGGCCAATCAAATCGTCTAAATTCAATCACGGGATCCTCCCGTGTCTTCTCGTTTGAGAACAATGCCAAACGCCTAGAAACGTGTCCTAGCATAGACGGCGCGGCGTGGCGCATCGTTAGTTGAGCCGCTCAGTGCACACATCGACTAACTCCACTTTTTGAAAAATCTTAAATTTAGGGGTCAAAGCACTTGGTGTAGTCATAACTTTTTATATTTATAATATCTTTCCTGATTAATAGAGATTAACACCATTAAACGGCAACATTTTTTTGGGCATTGAATAATAAGTAATTTATTTCAGAAGTCATTTTGATTAACTCCATCCTCTAATGTAAATCGTAGACGAATACCTGGCAGTATAGTATTATTGGATTATCTGTTGCGGCCGTACATCGACGCTTTTTTTTTTAAACAGCCGAAGATGCTTTCCCCCTTTCAACAATATGAGTAATACAATCGCATCAGCAAACAGATAGAAAGAAGCGCAATGCAGACGGTAGTTAGTATAACAGTGATCTCTCACGCTGAATGTTACCGTATACTTCACCAATATTACACGGATTACATATTTTTTGGTCTTTTCAATATTACTCCCTGATTGTTTTTAAAGAACTAAATATTATACCGTTATAATCAAGACGAGTGAAACTAATAACAATGTGGATGTGGAAAGCAGGGATGATTCTTCAATACGATTTATCAGCAGAAAGTCTGGGGCAAGAAGACGTTTATCGCGTTTCTCGGATTCATCTGATTGCAACGGTACAAATTCCCCAACAAACCCATCGATTGGGAGGAAAAGAAGTCGTAATCCTGATAAATGGGCACGAAATTTACAAAAGCATAACGGAACAAAAGGTTTGGCATACAGGAATAGGGGAGGAAATTTAATATCTGCAAAAAAAATTTGTCGATATAAAATGCAGACGATTATTTTTTGGCTATTCTTTCTTATTAATTTTATATACCGTTAGATGAAAACTATAACTGTATTTATGTATTCTACATTATATATTTGAAGCTATATTATAATAGGAATTTTAAAAAAGAATCTACATTACTTCATCGCATTTCTCAACTTTTTTTTTTATGGAGTTAATCAATGTGTGTACTGAGCGGCTCAGTTGTTGCGGCCGTTTGGTCGGTGAAGGTTGAGGCAATCTCCGGAGCTGACTTGCCTCAGTCTAGTGCCACCGAATTGACGTGAAAGAAATAAGGACCCTAGTAGCACAAAATATTTGTCCTATATTTTCTGTATATTTAACGAATATCGTACATTTTGTAAATATTTAGCAGACATTTGAAATATTTGCAAAACGTTTACTTTAGAATATTATCTCTATAATATTTATATAATATTACCTCCATGTGTTTTCATAATATTTTTCTACCACATATACAAAATATTTCGTTTCATTTTAATACAAGTATTTTTTTAATATTATCCGCCGAATGCATTATAAACGTTTTAAAAATATTTAAAATCAAAATCACACGTTTTGCTCCCGTAATGAAATAGCGGAAAATATTAGAAAAATTTCTCGTGTTTTTTGATACCAAATGAAGTGTTCGATAATAGTCGTGAAGTAAAAAAATGTATTTCTATTATGTTCATAGGTTAAAAAATATAATTTCTACATATGTTTATAAATTATTGAAACTAAATATGTCATTGAGATTTTCAAGAAATATTTCAAATATCTTCGAATGAAATCTACAAGAAATCTTAAAAAATCCGTCGCTTGAGATATTCAGCAAAGATTACAAAGAAATATTTAGAAATTATTCTATGCTTCTAGGGGACCTACCCAGGAAAATGTCTCACAATTATGGTTACGTATTCACGTAGAATATGATTTAATAAGTTTACGTCTGGGTTAACATATGAGGTCCATCTATATTACCATCGATTGGAAGATTACCCCCCAAAGTTACACATATCATGTAGACCAATTATACATTTTACATTCAAAATAACCCATTATGTTCACATATCAAATGTACGCCTATAATACATTCTTTATGTAAATTTAGATGCCGAATATGGTATTACCCAGACAATGTAATTTTACTGTTATTAATTGCGGCATCAAAATACCTAATAATCTCGGGTGTACATTTACATGGGAATTTTTATTTCAGGGCGGGCGAGATTTAAAAAACCACCCTGGGAAGATTGGAAGAAACCGAGGAACACCTTGAAGAATGGCATGGCGTTGTCGTTTTGACCTCATTTTTTTAATACGGAAAACGGATATCTTCGATTAAAGTATATCCCATAAAACACACTATGTTACAGTTATATAACACTGGAATAACACGATATATAACGAATGTTATTCAAAAGATACGTTAATATCTAACAACGTCGAATTATTACCGTTCGGTAACATTGTTAAAAACTCGTAAGCATTGCAGTTATATAATATTAACATATCATATAACATGTTACCGATATGTTATGTATACGTTACATTATTCGTTTTATAAAAGTGTTATATAGCTGCGGAGGAAATAGTAATACAAATCTTACTTATATGTTACATTACATGTTACAAACGTTATGTAATGGTTATTCATTATTACACAACCGTGTTTGGTGGGATCTTTCCGTTTTCAATAAGGGGTAGGAAGTCACACCCCCTGGAATGTTTTCCCTCTGTAGGCTGACTAGCCCTATAAATTTTCCGGGCGATCCAGATCCTCGGGAATCCCCGAGGGAAATTGAAAAGAGGGAATCGAAACTCGAGTAGGGGAAACGGTTTGATTTTTAAAGGAAGTATTATTGCAAGAACGATATTGTGTCAGGGTTGTCGCGCGGGAGCGATCGAGAATCGGGCCGAGATTAACACTAGGTTTACGGGACCCGTCAATTTGACGGGTGCTCGTAGAAACAGGTATATAAAAAACGCCCGTAAACCTAGTGTTAATCAAGTGGCGATAGGGAGGAATCACCAACGACACACCTAGGGATAGAGGTTGCCTTCAGGAAATCAGGGAGATTGCTCGGCGAATATTTTAAGCGTCGGAATAATTTATGATAAGAAATCCCGGAGAACAGCAGAGGGAAATTCATTTCCTTACGACTTTGCCGTTTTTC